GGATTAGGGCCGGGTAATTTCAGTTACTTCCTTTCTCCAGAACCCACGTGGTAACTATAGCTAAAAATGTTCATGATTAAATTCGCAATCTGGGAAGAAGCATTTTAGTTGTCTCCTCCAAAACAACCCTTCAATTTTTATCTAACTGTCTTTTTCTCAGCCATTTTCATTAAAAAATATGAAGCATGACCAGCCATTAACATGACTAGCACAGTAACAATGGAGTGATCAGGTGGCCTGAATACAGAAAGAACAATACTTCTTCAAAAAATTAATCAAATTTCACCAGAGCCAACCAGTCTGAAGATCTCTTCTTAAAGTACAGAGAATACTGGCCAGAATGAGAGGTTCACAGGGGCCTAGCAAAGTATCAGAAGACCAAAAAAGGACAAATGTCATTTCTGTCTCCAAAAATACAGGAAAAGAGGAGCAGTCTGGGAGGTTGTCTGCTTCACATCAATTCTCAGTGAAAAAAAAAAAATCTTTTGCAGTTCCCTAGAAGATAACTAGAGGGGGGAAAAAAGGCAATCAGGGATTTGCTAAGAGCAAAGCATGCCAGATTAGTCTAACTTTGGCCTTGAGACCCATTAGGCTGTCACAGTAGAGGACGATGCAGTAAAAGCATCTTGATTTTAGCACCACCTTTGGTCACAAACTGTAAAGCAAGCTAGAGAAACTACCTACAGGGATCCATCTATCTTGCAGTATTTTTTCAGATATTAACTCAGGTAAAGAAACAGGAACATTCTTAAATGAGTTGCTGACATACCAAAATGTTGGCTAAGATTCCTTGGATTTGAGGTCTCGTACTTGCAGTGGTCCTGACTAAACATTCACCAGAGATATTTCCTGTGCAGTACTCACTGAGAGGTCAAAGCAGCATCCTTGGGACTAGGGGACTCAGATCAATCTTCTCTTTGTGTGACCCGAACCATGCCTACTAGAGTCACTGTCCTGAGTCTCATTACAACAAATCCAACTCTGAATGCCAGAAAAAATATTACCAAATTCCAGCACCAAAGAGGAAAGTATTTTGTGTTAAAAAATACCAACTCTTGCATCTGGAAGATATGGTTCTGTGTCACATAAAGCTAAAAGAGAATTCACTTGCCAGTGTACCACTCCTGTGAGAGTTGACAAGAGATGAAGATTATAGGACATCAAAATATACAGCTTAGCAACAATACAGCCATTGTAATAGACCATGTGTGAAGGCCAGGGAAGGCTTACCTATCAAAGAGGGAAGACCAGGGTACAAAAAAAAGGCAGCAAAATGAAAGGTTCATGTTTTCTTTAAAAGATGATCTCAGGAAGAAAAGTACAGTAACTTACAGTAACTGTAATAGTGATAATTACTTTGCTACTAGAAAAGAAAAATGGTGCCAAAGACTCCTGACATTTTCTTAAAGGTAAATAACATCTAAAAGTAGGCCTCCAGCTGGGAGACTACATCTAGTGACACACGAGACTCTATAATCAAAAGCAAGACCCCATAATTTTTGTACTTCACCAGGGTAACAGTGAAGGTAGCAAACTACCTTCTAGTATGTCTCAGACGTGCTACATAGTAGGAGCTATGTGGATGAGAGAGTCTGAAGGGAATATGTGCAACACTGACTAAGCTCTTCTCTGAACAAATTAGAAGTTCATTATGGGGTACAAAGGAGAAAAAGAGATACCCTGTCAAAGAGCTTGAGTTCACACCAGTACAGAAATGCTCCACAGTTAGTCACTGGCATTTGTAGTACTGCTGACAGATAAGATTTTCTTCCCTAATCACAAACAGTCCCCATCTTTACTTCATTCATTTACTTAAACTTTTTTTATCAGCAGCTGTTACAGTTAGGAATGAAGGTCGGAATTGGAGAAAAGAAAGCCTACACAGGCTGGAATTTGACCACTGGCCACTTCTGATCTTAAATAATTTGGCTTTGCAACAGTGAGACTAGAGAGGTTATCAGTTGAAGATACTGATGTAACAGCCACAAAATTCACTGCCTGACACAATGTGAGGCCTGATTTAGTACCATTTAAGATACAACTGAACACTTACATTGATAGCAACAACTTCTAGAGGTTTGCTGACAGGACTAAACCCAATTCATATTTTATCAGGTCATACACCAACAGCTGACTGACTCACCTTAGATTAAATTTTCCTACTAACAGGTGATGCCATAGTTGGATATATGAGAATTGTATCAGTACCCCCCTGGAGTACCAGTTAGTTGCCATTTTTAAGAGTGTCTTATCAAAGAAACAGACTTGATGAAATGACTTTCTATAACCTTGGCTTAGAGATCACTGAAGAACATTAAATCAAGGAATCTGAAAATTAGCTTTTAGAAGTCAAGATACCCAAAATATAAATAAAGTCTCCAATAAAATGTTACTTTCTTCTTAACTACATATATTATGTCCACATATTCTAGTTGTGTACTAGAAATATGTACAACAAAAAGTATAGTGGAATTTTTCCACAGCATGATAAACCCAGCATAACAATGAACCATGAACTACAGTGAAACAAAGCTGAAACCACAGAAACTACATCTTCTAATAACTATGACTGCATTATCAAATGCTTAAACATCAAAACACTAAGGGTGCCAGCAGATATATACTGCTCAAGGTTGAAGACAAACACATTTCCAGCTTGAAATCTGAATAATCCTCATTAGCACACAGCAAATACATGATCTGTTCCAAGCTGTCTGCCATAATTGTTGAACTACTCTGAAGTCCAGTCTGGCAACAGGAACAGCATAAATTAGGAAGCCAGCCTTTTTCTTCAATTCTTTTGAAGCAGCACTGAAGTACCACTTCAATTCCAGTGCAATTCTTTCCAGATAGACATAAGAGGGCACTTAAAGTGAGAGAGGAAAGTGACAAAAGCCAACAGCATATTGGACTTGCAAATTTAAAATCAGAGAAATAAATTACTACTCTTATTTGGGGGTGGGTGGTATGAAGTTACATAACCAACATTAACTTTGGGCTTCTTGGTTTTTTAAATTAAAACATTTAAAGAATAATAGAGAGGAAGTACATTCCCACACCTATCACATCTAAAGGACATGAGGTAACAGCAACCAGGTGACTCAGAGGTGGCAAAAGAGTTCATGTCAGAATAAATATTAAGATATAACAGAACCAAGTTCACTCATAGCAGATTTCTCTATCATGCAGGACAAACCAGAATCCTTTGCTAGAGGAATGAAGGCAGGGGAGGGTACCTGCTAAGTGTCCCAGAGAGCCACCCTGAGTAGCTGGAAATATAAGCATATTCAAACCTTTTCAATATTTTTCAAGGAATTTTGCAGTTCTTGTTGTAAAAATAAAGAAAGAGTGGTTTGAGGCATCTTTGCAAGATCTGCATGTTGTTTGCTTTGGCAAAGGCAAATGTATTACAGAGACAGTGTAACTTCAAATTTTACATGTTAAAAACCTAGGAAGATTTATGCGCACATAAGTGAAATGAAATCAAAGTACCTAAAGGAGTGGAAACACCCAAAAAGCTTATTGAGTATGCCATATCAAGACTCTTTATGTCTTCTGTATGGTTAAAACTCAAAGTGGTCTTATACACAAACGAATTCTGAAACAAAAAGTGGAAAACTTACATCTGTTTCATAGTATCACCTCATAGGCAACATAGTTACTAAGTAAAATACAGGTTATGAAACTTTCATGCGGGATAACTAATTGTCCCTCTTTCCCTCTCACTCTACCTCCTCAGTAGAAAGGGCAGAATCGAGGTAATCTGAGTGCTATTAGCTGTCTTGATAAGTAACTGAAATATGCCTATTCTTAAGTATAACCTTAAAAATCCTAGTTCTGAAATAACTCAAACATTCCCGCAACTTGTAATTTACTCAGACTCACCACTACATACACCGACTTTTTGTGTATTAGTGTATGTTTTAGCTTGAAATTTTCAGAATAACAACTCCATGGTTGGGGGTAACAGAATTCAGTTGCTGCAACATCACAGATAGAACAGCTAACACCAAGAAACTGAAAGCCATCTTTGATCTTCTACTTACCCTATTTCTCCTCACAAACATGAGACACATCTACCCTTACACCCATTCTGGATAACTTGTTCCACCATAGAAACAGAGCATACCATTCAGGATTTGGATAATACAAACGCTAGCATGGCTTTCATGAAAAAGCCAATTGTCCAGCTAAGGGAAACAAATGTTCACTAAAATGATGCAACGTTAGTATTATTGTAATCAGATTGTTCCACTCATTTTAAAGGTAAGACTGTAAACTGCATAAAAATTAAGATTGGCAAGGCAAATCAATTATAGGCAGAAAACCTTATGAAGGTTGCCTACAAACATATGCTCACTGAATGTATTCCTACCTGACTTGTCTGATTGCCAAACATGATCAATGCAATCAATTGCTCTCGTTTCAATTTTTTAGAAAAACAGGGGTGGGGGGGAGGTGCGGGGAAGGCAAGTTCCTGTTCCTTATGATTTTCCAATGAAAACCCCAAACGCATTAAGCAAATTCAACCACTACTACATCCCACCGAAGTTGTGTAAGTACGAAGGCTGAGGGCTGACTCTAACATTCAGACACCCACACGGTTTTTTTCCTGCTGGAGAAGAGAGGAGTTTGTCTCCCGTAGGTACATTTCAAGTCGGAAGACAATGCTCTAGGTAAAGACGAACGCTGAATAACGTCCAGCGGTACCTCAGCGCTGGAATGACCACCAAGACACCGACCAGAAGCAGCCGCTGCGCCCCCACACCTCACTTGCTGGCTTAGGCCTTTCTCCACCCCGTGCCCCTAAACCCCGTGCCCCCCGCGGTGTAAAAGCCCCTGCGACTGAGAAGCACCGGAGCCAACTAGCTGAGAAGGGGGACAGGAGAGGCCCGAGGCCAGAGCGCTGTGAGGGGCGGCAGGCGCGCGCGGCGCGCGGCCCCGCCCTGCGCCTGCGCCCGCGCCCCCGCCCCGCGCCCCCGGCCGCCCCATCGCGCATGCGCGGAGCCGGGCCGCCGCACGGCCAGCGGGATGGCGGTGGGGCCGGCCCGACCGGAGGAACCGGGAGGGGATCCCCCCGCGTCCTCGCGGGATGGAAGAAGTGTCCCAGGCCGGTTACCTGGGTGAGGGTTCTGCGGTGCAGGGCCCGGATCAGGCCACTCGGTGTCGCCATGGCAAAGGCGAGGAGGGGTGGCGGTGGGGGGGCGGTGGGAGGGAAACAAGGCAGAAGCCCGAGCGGGTCAGCGCATGCGCTGAGCAGCGCTGTTTCCGGCGCGCATGCGAGGTCGCGGCGTCGTAGCTGGAGGGAGTGGGCGCCGGGAGGGGGGCGGTCACGTGGAAGCTGAGCGCCGCGGGGGGTGGTGGGAGCGCGAGGGGACGGTGTGAGGGGAACCTGGGGCGGGGGCAGCTGCACTCTGCTTCGCCCGTGTTTTTTTTTTTTTGTTTTTTTTTTTTTCTCCTTCTCCCCCATGGGTCCTGCCTCCTGCGCAGGTTGCTGTTGAAACTGTCCTTCCCAGCAGTGTGTCCCGCCAGGCCCTGTACAGCCTCTGAGGTCTCCCCGACCCCGGCTCCCCTCAGGCCGCCCGGCCGTGCCCGCGGCAGCGTTTCCACCGCGAGATCCGCAGCCTGGCCCCTACTTGAAGATGCCCGATTCCGCCCACCTCAATCCTCTTTACTCGTCATGCTTATCTAAAGTCAGTGCTCCTCTGAAGGTGTTGAACGTCAGCCCTTCGTGACGTCTCTTTTGGGAAGCGTGGCAGCCTTCTCCCCACTTCATTACACAGTTCAGTTCCCAGGCTGGGAACCCACAAAATGCTTGTTGCCAACGTTCAGGTGCTGTGAACTGCAGGGCTGGAAATACCTGGGACAGTGACTGTGGGGATCTGCTACAGCAGGATTTGGGGAAACAAACCAGCAATCGGGAAAAATGGTGCACTTCTAGGCCTCTTATCAGCGGCACTACACGTTGTATGGGTGATTATTTCCAGTGGCCAACTGAGCACTGAGCCTGACTGGTCCAAACACTGAAGATACTACCATAAAATGTTCCTAACTGCAATCATTTTCATAGCTAAAACCACTAAGTTTATATAACTGTTTTGCACTTTGATGCATTAATAACAATTTTTAAATTTTAAAACTGTGTATGTACAGTGCTTAGTACATTGAATCCTCATCTTCATTTAGTTCCCCAGGTTCTACTATAATACAACTCATAAAAAATGTGCTTTGTAAAGTCAATAAGAACTTTAACTTGAACTCAGAATTTTTTTCATCATTTGCATCAACGCTATACATATTATTCATAATTTGAGCTGCAAATTTCTATGTGCAATGTTCATCTCTGACATCTTTATTCAGTGTTACATTTCAGCAAAACTGTGTCAGCCATTTTTAGGAATATAATTAGGCAAAAATCACAAGCTTGTTGAATAGTAGGAGACATCAGGGAAGAAGAAGTTGAAAAATTGAAAAGTCCAGGTGATATTTTTTAAGGTTTTCTGGCTCTAAGGCCAAAAATGGCTCACTAGTGTGAGACTGAAGATGTGCTTTGAGTGGAGCATCAGATGACAACCCTGATGGTGGGAGGGATGCCCAGATGCCTTAGCTTCTCTCTCCCAACTAGAACTGTTCTCCACTGGAGAATAACTGGAGCAGATAAAGCTGTCTTAAACTAACATGCTGAAGAGTGGGATGCTGAATTAGGCAAATGGAACATTAGCTTCGAAAAGTTGCAAAGAAAATTGAGATAATGTGATAAGGAAATGTTAAGACAGTATTTCAGTTGTAAAGAATTTAAAACCAAGTTCTTTTCTAGTATGTAATTACCAAGGATTCTGATAATAGGAATGTATTAAAACAAAGCATGTTTTAAAATAAAATTGAAACCAAAGTGAAAGCTTGAATTAAAGTTAGGTTTTTTTCTTTCACCAGAACTGAGCCTGAGTTATTACTTCGAAGTCTTCATTGAACCCAAACTCAAGCTAAACAAAAAGGAAAAATTCAATATTTACAGTAGCTCTTTAACATGAGAAGTGTGCACTACTATGACAAATATATCATAGGCAGAAGAATAAGCATAGGATATTCTTGGTGCAGACAGAGAGGGAGAGTGGTGTGAATGTGCAAGGTGGGTGAGAAGAGGAAGAGGTTGGCTTGAGAATTCCAGAAAGGATGAGATGGCTTGCATCCTGAGAGATGGCCAAGTTAGGGGAGGAAAAAGATTCACTGCTCATATTTATTGTCATTTGAAATCTACTGCTGCTGCTGCTGAAACTCTTCTGACCTTTCTCGTGTATGATTCCTAGACACTTTTCCCCTACCCATATTACCCCAATAAACATTGTAAGTCCATTCAAGACTGTTTAGATGTGTCAAATCTGCTGCTGAGCCCAAATTAGGAAAATACCAGTAATGGGTGAACGTGAACCAGAACTCAGTCGAAATATGACTAGTGCAAATCTCTGTTTTTAATACTGCCAAACACTGTTGACTTAGAAATCAGAGTTCCAGACCATATCTTTCAGACGAGTGTATTTCCTGGGGCACGGTGATTCTGCAAAAGGTCTGAAGTTTGTGTTTGACCAGCAACTCTTCCTTGCTACTGCAGTCCTGATGCTGAAATGGTCAATTAAGTGATTTTTTAGTACTGGGGTGACAGTCAATAAATAGTAAGTCCACTTTGGGTTTCCATGCTTGAAAGGAGATACTGAAAAATCAAGGAAAAAACTATAGACAATAGCTGTAAAATTATTTAAGAGAAGACTTGGGCATATGCTCAAATAAGCAATTAGTGAAACTGCAGGACAGTGTTAGGAGCAGAACAGAAAGTCTGTGATTCTTTTTTTTCCAGGTAGAAAGACCTCCGTAGCTGGACTGCAGGCCACAGAACTTTTCATGAAGCCTTGAAGAGGCAGTGCGTTACACAGGACCCAGCCTTAGTTGGTCTGCAATGTGAATGGTGTCCTGGGAATTAGGGATGTGTAGAGAGTTTTTACACAGCCTCCTCCTCCTTGTCTTATTTAACATAGAGATTAGAAGTTGTTTGATTGTTGGCAGAAGACTGTAAAGAGGAAGAATAGTTAAAGAAGCTGAATAAATTTTGAAAACCTGGCTTTACTTCTTGCCACTATCAAAAATCACGTGTACTAAAATATTTTGTGTTCCTCACTTGAAAAATTAGAAGAAATTCTGTGCTCTCCTAGCTAAAAGCTAACTTTTTGCTGCTGTGTTTGTTTCTAATATACCATATGCTAAAAACATGAAACAGCCTAAAATATTAGAACCTATGCCTATTAATTTAACATGTAAGATTTATGCTTTATGCTCACTCTATTTGTGCTTTAGGTCCCATCTTTAAAATAGAGTAACAGCTATTCAAGTCAGAACTGTCAAAATAATTTCACTAATGCTATTGAATCACTCACATTCTCTGATAAAAATAGCAGAGACTAATGAATAAGAAGGAAATAGTAGTTTTCTACTCTATTGAGGGATTATGACAGAAAATCCTATGGTAAGAAAGTTTTAGGACACCATTTGGAATAAAAAGGTATTTATAAAAATAAACAATAGCCAGTGAAGCAAGACCCTTGCAGAAAAAATAGTATGCTACAATACAGCTAGAGACAGCATCATGATATTTAGACAGAAGAAGAGGGAAATGAATTAAAATCACATCACAGAGTTGATGCTGTCATTTCTTGGTTTCTGAGTGTTTGATCATGTTTTTTAATGTAGCTTGGGGGAGGGATAATTATAATTACACTTGTTTTTATTGTTTGCCACAGTATTGCTCATGTACTGTCTAAAATAGGATCCCTTTGTGCTATGCATTGCTCATGCACACACCAGGTGACAGCCGCTGCTCCAAATAGCTCAGAGTCTAAACATACAAAACAGATCAGAGTGTATGACACACGGTGCGATAAATGAATTTGCAGAAATTGCCATGTAAATATTTTGACTCCCATTGTTTTTTAAGAGAAGGATGTCATTAGCGAGGTGCTACCTTGAATGAAAGGGCAAGGAAAGGGGATTTACGCAAACTAGAGAAGGGAGACCAGGTAGAGCGGGATCTGAAGAACAGAGTAAGAGGAGAAGTTGGAACAGGCAACCAAAAAGCCCAGGAAGGAGTCACTGTCATACATAAAGAACTTCACTTCAGATATGTAGGTTGGCATAGTTTAAAAGCACATCTTTGAAATTCTTGAGAGCCTAGAGTTTAGCAACAAGACTGGCTGAAGAGGGTGACTCAATTGCTTTTACCTGTTTCATTTTACATTTTACACATGCTATAGAAGAGTCTTTGACCATTTTTATACATCTGTCCAGTGGAGCTTTGGCAGGGTAGTCATTTGAAAGCGCTGAAGACCTGGCAGAGAGCATGAAGTGTTGTATTATCTTTTGTATGCTGAAACTGTTGATACTATCACAGCATTACAGAGAACTATATTCTGTGAGGTTCATGGAAAAACACTGTACTGGTAGCCACTGAGAAATAAAAACACCTAGGTTCTTCTGAAATCTGTAAACCTTTTCTCCCTTATAATATGTTGGGAAAAATAAATCTTTCCTACATGTTATTTTGTATTATCATCAGTTATGGTGACTGTGTTCTTTACATTCATTTTGAATCTGTGTTTCCTGTCATGAGCAGATTAAAAACAGAAGAGAGTGGAGTGAAAGTTTTCTATTGCAAACATCTGTGTCTGAAAAAGGATTGTATTTCCATGTCCTGGAACATCAAGGGGAAAAGCTTGCCCTCCCCAGACACACACCTTTGGTTTGCAGCAATAAGGAGTTTATAGACAAGGTTGCCTTACTACAGTAAATAGAAAACCCAATTCTGCTATTATTTCCGGTGGTGAATCCAGTCTGGGTGTCTAAGGAGACCTTCGATCATTGTTCCCAGCAGAGAGCTATCTTATTTTGTATCTGTGAAATGCTTAATATATTTTTGGGTGTAACATAAGCAAGGCTTTTAATAACTCCTGTCTTTTTTGTCTGAAATTCAGTTTTATATGCAAATACTGCTGTCCAGAGAAGTGTTCTCAGGGACTGTCAGTAGAAATGGTGAATGGACATACCCTCAGTAAGTTAAACGAAATCCACAGACAGAAAAAAATGGCTGTGTCAACCGACTTCACAAAGCAAAAAATTAGTGTTGACATATCATCCATATCTGTCTGATTTTAAAGGACTGGAAACGGAGAGAAAAGATGTTCTAAGAAGCACTGGGGGCCAGGTACAAAGTACTTTCTCATACTTACTGGTATTATTACAGGAATTTAGCTCTGGAAAGAAGGAAATTTTTTGGTTTGGATGCTGCCCTGAGACCTTCCTATCTCCTACATAAATGCCCTGCTTTTAAAACTTCAATTTACTAATATGTATCTATGCAAATATCACCCAAATATATTTCATTGGATTCATGTACCGCATCGTTCCATTGTACCCAAAGATCTGTTAAGTTGTATGCAAAATTGGAACAAACCTGGGAAACAGTTTGAAAAATCATCATCTGGACTGGTTCTTCATTGATAATTGTCTTGGGCACTGAGGAGGCTTTTGCTGGTGTGCAAGAGCAATTCTTCCTTTCTGAAGTGGGAGCATGCATCCAAGTAACAATCCATGGAATATAGTTCTGCTTTGGGCAATGTTATTAGTGAGAGTGGTCTTCTCTTCCCTAATCATTTCCCCCATCTGCCAGGCTTCCTTCAGGTATATGCAACTGATGGTGGTATTTCCATACCTGTGAACATATTGAAGATTCTTAAGACTGCAAATAATTCTACTGGAGTTAATAGAAAAGTGAAGAAAACTTAAGAGTTTTGAACAAGCGTGGCAAAATGAAGAAATTGTCTGTTAGGGAAAATCTCATAAGCAAAAAGAGTTGGAAAATTTAGGAATAGGTAGGAATTCACAGAGTCTGAACCTCTGCTTTGTAACTCTGGTTGTTCAGTTTAGTAAGAGAACCTCACAGCTGCTTTTTTAAAATGGCAATTAGTATGACATCTCTCACTTTCTCAAGAGGATATATTACAGTGTGAACATTTGCCCATGACTTACATGTCTGTCCAGGGATCTCAGAAGAGAACAATGAAGTGAATCCCTCAGCCTGCCTGTTGGCATGAGGATCTTAAAGATATGAGAGTAGGGGACAGAGAGATCTGCTTGCCTAATTCTCATTTAAATCAGGGGTCATTAGGCACCAGACACTTTTTAAAAGTCATTGATGTAAAACCTAGAATTTATTTTTATAAATTGTTCCTGTTCCTAAAAAATATTCCCTATTTCCAACCTAAATTAGTCCAATTTCACTTCGTAATTTTAGATTGTATAACCTAATTTTCTTTTAAGCTAAAACGTGTTTTACTTTCAGAAATCTCCCCTTATAATCAAGGAATATTTTTGTTTTGTTTTGTTTTTTCCTTAAATGTCATGGATTGGTTTTTTTCGAAACTATGATAAAGTAGGCTTTACACATTGTAAATTACAGTTGTGGCTCCTTAATCTTTTCAGTTTTGCACGCTCTTCCATTCAGGGTAAGCACCAAAACGTGCCACAATACTATTGCTATTCTCATGATCATTTGTCTGCTTCTACTCAACCATCTGCTAAAAAAAAAAAAAAAACAAAGGTAGTGTTGTTAAGAAAGCTTGCAGATGATGCACAGATTGATAGAGCAATAAATAACATTTATATATCTGAGAATAGTGCTAGCTGCTGCACCGCACTGAGAGCTCACATTCTTCCTATCTCATCTCTGTCTACCAACTTCAGTGTCAGTGGTTTCCACAGTCCCCCCACTTGTAAGAGTGACGTGGGGTTTTTGTTTCCAGGTGTGTGACCTTCTCCATTTATGTGTGTTCAGACACATTGCTTGAATGAGTTCCCCTTCCTACCAAACACCCCAGCTGTGTATAACTGGCTCTTTCTCAATACTGTTTATCATTCCACCAAGCTCTGCATCAACTGCAAACCTTACTAGCAGTGCTTTCATATTTTCTTCTATGTGGTTAATAAAAATACCAATTGCTAAAACAAGATCAGGGGCTTAACACCTGTTGAACTGGCAGTGATTTAACATACATTTAATGTACAGTCCAATATACACTTCACTGATTATTTTATGTTATTTTAAAAAATAAGACTGTCACAAAGTACCAAAATAAACACTATACAAAAATGTAGATATTGCACAGCCAAGTGTATTTCTGGATACCAGAAAGATTGAAGTCCATAAAATGCAGAGTTGTTATAATTATCTCTAAAAAAAAAATCACTCAAGTGTGTTAATATAATATTAAATAGCACTCCCAGATAAAGATCTGCAATGTTAGTTTTTTTGTTTTACCACTTATGGCTATGCTTTGACTATTGTGATCCCATCCAGGGAATGCAGAACACCTATGGTTTATGGGATACTTTGACTGGGTTTGCAGCTGCTTTGTTTCATAAGAGCAATGAAAAGTTGCTGAAATGGACTGTAGCACCCTTTGCTTTCTGCACTCCAAATTCCTGCTGATTTGTCACCTCCCATCATTAATTATTATTCATACACGACCCCCTTGTTTGCCCAGCTTTATCCTGTGAATGTATGAAATCCTCCAGGCTCGCACAATCCTGCCAAACTGGCACTTAATTCAAGCAGAGTGACCAGCTGATTAGAGCATCACGTTGGCTGGGGTTGACAGCAAAACCTCCTGGCTGTGCCACCTGCTTTTCCTGCGCCACAGACCCAGGGATCCAGGCTGACCACCACTGCGGAGGGAGCGAGGGGGCTGCATGGGCACCAGCTCTGGCTGGGCAGGAGGGTGGCACCGCCAAGCAGCATTGGTCCGTGTCTCCAGTTCTTCTGGCCTCTTGATGATGGCAGCAGCGGCTGATCAGCTCTTCGCAGCTTTGCCCTGCGCCCTCTGCCTCAGATTCTCACCTACCTCGTGGCAGAAGTGACCCTGTCGCTTCTCCTTTGGGCAGCAAAATATGGTTTTTCCCACATTGCTGACAAGCCTGGAGCCAGCTGTCTACACACATCCACTTTCCTCTCCATCACTCCTCCAGGGAGGGTGCTCCTGGCTTCTCCTTCAGTGCAGAAAATGAACACGCTGCCTCCCACCTTGTCTGTAAGGAGCATCGGGCACAATAGGTGCTTTCCTCCCAGATGCTTCATATGCATGGCCATCCTTGCTGTTATTTTTTGTAACTAGAAGTTGTTTTGTGGTTGTTGATGTTGTTGTCGTTGTTGGGTTTCCCCCCATGCAGAATTGTTCCCTTTTGGACTGACCACCATCATCCATTGTTCTCCATGAAACAGAAACTGCCGTTGCCCTCGAGGAGTGGTGGCTGCCTATACTGTGAGGCATCATAAAACACAGACCCCATTGGGAACAATGGGGAAAAGCCTCCTCAACGTGGCCACCAGCTGAGGCCTGCCACCACTCCTAGCCTGTCCAGAGCACTGCGGAGCAGCAACCTTGTTGAGGGGAGGCGATGGTCCACCAAGAAGCCTCGGGACCCTGCCTGAGGGAAAACAAGATTACATGCAGGAGGGAAAATACCCAAACAAAACCAGCTTAATAACAGGAAGCAAGTGAAATAAAGTCTTCGTGCAAGGTTACAATGAGTTCCAATTATGTGGGAGCTAGCAGAGCTTTTACCCAGTTTTGTAGGGGAGATTGAAGTGCTTTTTGCTGCTCTCCCACTGATGCCTTGACTCCCTCTTAAATACTAAGAGAACAAAATTCTTTTTTGACAGTTTTAATAAGAAACAATTTTTTGTCACAGAATAATAAGTGTTTCATCTATGAAGATGTGATATTTTTCCATCCTCCCTTTTCACTGGGCATCCTCCTGCCTCATATACTCTTGGGTCACTAAAGTCTGTATTCTTTTTATGAAGATAGGAGACAAAGATGGGTGGTCCATTGTTTTAAATGCCCAAATTTTAATCTGTAAGCAAATTAATGTATTCCAATACATCTTTGAAATTACCAGAGAATTTGTTTTGTAATCAAAGTGTACATATTGTGCTGTTAAGGAGAATACACTGTGTTTTTCATTGAGAGTAAAGAATAATCAATAAAGCATGCCTGAGTTTGAAAATTCTGCCCTGACTCTACAGTCTTTAATTGCCTCTAAAACACACATTCAGCAATAGAAAATATTTTAAAAGATTATGAAATTTGAGGGCATACATCATCAATAATGTTGCACAAGCTATACTGTAGGAATGTTGCGATTGTTTTTGAAAACAAGCATTGTGATTCAAGGAAATAAATGGGCGAGATCTTACTTAATAGGAATTCCAACCATTCAGGTAATTAAAATCACAATTAGCATACTTACCCAAGTCAAACTGTAATCTGTTAAAATCCCACATACATAAGCCTCCAGATCTACATACTTTTACATTTACAATTCTATTGTATGAGCAGTCATTTGCTGCCATTATTCTTCATAGCAGAAAATTTCCTCTTGAGCAGAAGTCTTAACTGCGCCACAGAGTGACACCAAAAATCTTTATAATTACACATACAGCCATTTCAGTGGCTTTGTATTGAAATTGATAAAGTTTGTCTTTAAAGATCCAGTATATGCTCTCTCCTCTTCAGAGTAGGGACTGTAATTTGGAAATAGTGTTTCATCTAGAATGATGAAGCTGCATTCTCAACAGAAACACTGA